CACACACACACACACACACACACACACACACACACACACACACCTACATAAACACTCGTGCTTCAAGAAGTTTACCTAATCGTTACAGGGATAGATAATTAATGACTTTAGCACAAATGCTTTGATTGCTGAACTTTTTTTTGACTCATTCTTTGAAGTACTAGCTTTGACTACCACAACACTTAATGGCAAAACTTTGACTACTTTGCTTAGGTTTTTTTTTCTGAATTTGATGATCTGTTGTCATTCTGGCAGTGAAGCATGCCCATGTTGCTATATGTAACTCTTGAAAATATGGTGGCACTAATTCTCTACTCATTAGCATAGATTCTGCTGTTGCTGGTCATTCCAGTGTTTCTCTAGTTCAGTGGTTTTAAACAAACAATTTGTTTCAACTTGTAYTGAAATGCATTTAAAAATGTTGTCACTCTGAATGTTTGTTTTTCCTTAATTTCGCAACTATGTTTCAACTGATCTGAACATCAACATCAACACGTACCRCCTTCAACACCCCTTTTAAAGCGAAAGATCCATTCTGCAAGATGGAAATTCTCAATGGCGAGTTGTGGCCAAATACTCCAACAGGAATAAATGTTGTTAACAAAACATGTTCAGCGGGCAGAGTTGGACAAAAATCACGTAACTGTACCCAAAGCCAGCAATGGGACATCGTTTATTCTATGTGCATCAATGCAGAGCTTGGAAAAGTTGCAAATGCAGCTTCGGTAAGTTTAGCTTTATTTGTTCACAGTTCAGTGAAAAGCTTTGAAGTTTACAGCTCTATAACACTGTCTTTTTTATTATGGAGTGGAAATTTATTGTTGCCATAAGCAAAAGAGATTAGCATAAGCAGTGATGGGTAGAAATGGGATAAATGGCTCTTTGAAGAGATGTGGATCTTGGGGAGCTGTTTGTTTCATAGAGCCGTTCAAAAGAGCCATTCGATTTTGAACGTATTACATCATCACATAGGTAAATACGTGATCACGTAGCCGTACATAATGACGTAATCCCATCACGTGGGTGGAACCATGTGTTTTGTCAAGCGGAAACCCCCCTCCTCCTTTCCCGTGAGCTTCTGTACTCCACAACTCTGCCTGTTTTTCGTTAAAAAGCAAAGCGGGAGCGATTTAAGATTGAAAAAATAATGATTGTATGAGGAATAAAAGAAATAAAACACAAATGGCTCGTTACTGCCCGTGATTCGGCTCCTATTCGTTGTAAAGAGCCGTTCAAAAGATTTGGGTCGTTCGCGAACGTCACATCTCTAGTGGTGGGCAGCGCTAATCCAAAAATTAGCTCTGCAATTTCTAAAGCTCATATATATATACTGTACATACATATGTGAAAATATTTAGGTCCGCAACTTCAAAAACGCTTATTTCATAGAAAATTTAGTGGATGCTAATTTTAAAGCACAGGTTCAATTTGACACTTACTAGCTGACAATTCATGTACAATATGCACAATACTGCCAACTAGMGGTGTATGAACCCTTGGGGCGGCTGTGGCGGAGTGGTTAGGTGAGTCGTCCTGGAACCAGAAGGTCGCTGGTTCGATCCCCCGTCCAGCCGTCTCAGTCGTTGTGTCCTTGGGCAAGACACTTCACCCACCTTGCCTACTGATGGTGGGTCAGAGGGTCCGGTGGCGCCAATGTATGGCAGCCTCACCTCTGTCAGTGCGCCCCAGGGCAGCTGTGGCTACAGTGTAGTTTGGCATCATCAGTGTGTGAATGTGAGTGTGAATGGATGAATGTCTGTAGTGTGAAGCGCTTTGGGGTCCAGAGGGACTTGAAAAGCGCTCTATAAGTTCAGTACCATTTACCATTTTACCTTGTACAGCTTAATCCTACAACCGCCGATTGCTGGGGATCTGATTTCCTGAAACAGAACTTTGGCTCCTGGTGTAAAAATTAAAATGTTGTTGAGGATTGCTAGTTCTGCTGCTTCTTTGTCTTTGTCTTTTGTTTGTTGTAGATTTTTYATTAAAGAAGCATCAATAAAGTAATTTTAAAACTGTTTATTGGAAAACTGAAGCGATGCATTCTGGGTACATGACGGATTTGATTTGTGACGGGAAACGAAAGCACGGAGAACAGGAAAYTATCTTCCCTTCAAAATAAGAGYTTGGATTTTAAAGTTTTTCATGTTTCCATTGGATTTTAAAGTTTCCCAGTTCACCTGAAACTCATCAGACTGAAGAAGTCTCTTGGAGGAGAGACGAAACGTTTCACTAAAGAAGAACCCATCCAGAGGACCTACTTATTTTTTCTTTTTGGTTTTTTCTACCTGGATTAGGACGTTTTCCATGTAGTTGCTCCRGTTGACCACTAGATGTCAGTCTTCACTAGCATAACATCTTTAAATCTTTTCTGAGTCTCTAACACCCTGTTGGCCGATTGCTTTTGAGCTCCAGCGTTTAAACTTTATTTTTTAAAAAAGGGAGCTCCGATTGTAAAGTAAAATAAATCAATACATACAAAATTTTAGAATAGATTACAAATGTTTACTATTTTCGCTATTGCCTTCCTGCTACGTAAGCAGACACAAAGCATTATGGGAAATCAGAACCGTGGCCGAAAGCAACAGTCCACAAGGATGTATATACGTTCCCTGTTGGATAGATCACATGTTGTGATTCATTGACAGCCATACCTTCCGCTGTTCAAGATAATAATGATTGGCAGATAGTTATTAGWGGTACTACATTTTAATTTTAGAAAGCACAAATCCGCTTWTAAATTATAAAAATTAGTAAGTCTGCTAAAGCGCAAATGAAATATTTAGGTCCGCAATTAGCGGATTTGCGCTTTAGTGGACTTGAGCCCACCACTGAGTATAAGCAAYCCAGATGATAAAGACCCAAATTTTATATGCAAGCCTTTTGACTCGCTATTAGCAGAAACTATTTTTAAGCTAAAAAATACATGTATGAAAATATGAGAATTTGAAAAAGATAATGTTGGCTAACCTAATTCTATGCACAAAAGAAGAAAGACAAAGTGAGTTGCCATTGATGTCACTTGTTTTCAGTACATGCCATCCTGCTCAGTCTTTTCAGAATGAATTCGTCAAAATGTCTACACAAATTATATTAAGCTCAAAAGAGCTACTCCATGTGGCTGGCAGATGTTGAGGCCAACTCATCCTTATTTTGTGTGTTTTTTTATTAGCATACTGATACTTGTTTATTACTGTGTTCACCCCAGAACTTCTTGAATGGACTTGGGGCCACCCAGCAAGTGGCACAGGATATATTTGCAGGAATTAAAAACAACACAGCCTCAGATTCTGCCTCCGGTGATGACACTGCAGACATCAGTGCTTCCATTGCCATCATGGGGATAATGGCCAGCGCATCACTGACTACGACCTTGAATGAGGATGTGTTTCCAGTAAGCTCGTTTATGTTTACTGCGACATATGCACAGCTTAAAACTTAAAAGAGAATGCCTGTTTTTAAACTTTTTAGAGAGTTCTCAACTTTTATTTTATTCTACAAACACAAGTCAATTTGACAACAAAGAAAGAAGAAATACAAAAAAACTGTTTTGACTAAAGTGTAAACACAAAACCATACAATGCACAATACTAAACTGTTAGACAATGAGAATGACATTCAATAAATACGATTAAATGTTATTAAGTTTATTCGAGTCAAGATGAACATAAAAAACATTTACTAAAATAACAATGTCAAATAAAAAAACTTGTTAAAGTTAAATAAAACTACCATATCTTCAAACAGTTAGTTCACTTTAGCAACCCCTGAAGATGGGAGCAGCCGAAATGAAAAAAGAAGTTTATATTACATAAAAACATAGGTTATTCTGTATGCCATCGTTGAACTAAACTTTGAACTTTTTTTAGTGTTATYACTGTTAATAATATTAAAGTTATTTAAAGCTTTAATTTTTGTTTCTATTTATTGTATTTTTTTATTGTTTTATTTGTAATCTGTAAAATTGCATTGTGTGCAATTGCTTGTCAAAAAACTGTCTCCAATTAGCCAATTTGCAATTACTTGCAATTACTGCCTCGTGATAATGTATTTTTGTGTGCAACACACTCACTATCAAGCTTGCATGTGAAGCTGTAGTATGTTCCATTACTAACGATGTGCTGCCACTCCACATTGTGGGAAAGGTGGGTTTTAATTAATAGACTTTTGAATTAACTTTGATTGATGTTTTGTAAGTATAATTTTAGAACATAGGGTAACTGATTTAGAGTCCAAAACATTCAAGTGCAATTGTCATCTATTAATCGTTATATTGATTATTATCAGCTAAATATTACAATTTATGGTGATGAGTTTGTTTTGGTTATATCACCCAATGCTGCTGGAAAGAATAGCACTTTAGATCTTTTTTGTGCAACACGTTTTTATAATGACAATAAAGACATATTCTATTTGATTGGAATAGTATTGAACAAACAGTTTAGTCTAATCATATTTAAAGTGTCGATCTGTCAAATAATCATAAGTACCGTATTTATTCATGTATAATAGTTAAAATTTAATCCATAAAATCAACCATAAAGTTAGGGGGTAGTATTGTACTCAGATAAATATTTTTACTTATGTATTTTAACTGAAATATCGGCTTCATTCACAAAATGCCTGAGTCTGGACATGAGAGCACGTAGTGAAAAGCAGTTGAAACGACCTTACCTCTGACACTCCTTCATACCTCAGAGCGAGATAATAACAGATCCAGGCAGGCAACATGATGTGACAAAAGGGGGAAAAAGACAGTCCTGCAGCTTTGTAATGATAACGAACTAATGACATTAGCTTGTGACCGGGCCGCTCCTGGAACAACAACAAACACATTCGTCTGTAATGGCTGCCGTCTACCGGTGTTCTGAAAAAGTTTGTATCCCTGAAAAAACGTTTCCCCACCAGAGGGGGTGCTCGCAAGTAGGAAGTAATCTGCTTTTCCCCACAAAATGGCCCAAATCTCATGTGAAGTCTCTGACTTTTGTGTTGGCGCCTCCTGGTGGACTATGTGTAAAATGCCAGAATTCATATGATGCTGCTACAGCTGATATATACAGTATTTGTTGTCAAAATACCTTTTAGTACATATGTTGTTAAAATAAAATGAACAGTGCAATGATCATTTTACTGATATGTATAAAGACTGCAATGGCTGAAAAATCTTGAAGTCTGTATGAAATTGGAGGTAGTTTGAGGATTAAATCTTTTATGCTTTTTAAGCTAAAAAAAGGGGGGTCGTATTATRCATGAGATCGTATTATACATGAATAAATACGGTAGTTTGTAACTTACAAGCGATGACATCAAGTCATATAGCAGAAGATGGAGAAAAATTTACATGTTGTGGTGAAAGAATGCTACAATACCTAATATTAAACCTCTGCTGTTTTTCATGTTAGTGTAGTTTAGTCTGTTTTTATCCAACATTTGAGCTATGTGAATGGCATATTTGTGTGCTGAGCAAAGACCAGATTTTTCTGAAACTTCATTACTTCTGTAAATTTTACCACATTGTATTTTATTTCTTTTTCATTACAGGATTTAATTGAAGGAGCAAGCAATATGGTCGGCTCAAACTGGAGTGGGGTAAATGATAACATCCGTTACCAAATGTCACAACAATATCTTTACTCTGTGGAATCGTTGGTGAAGAATATCCAGGTGAACACGAGCGAAGGCTTCAACAGCACAAACCTGGAACTTAAATTCTGCTCAAGTGATGACTGTGACATGACTGTGTTTGGCGTTGAAGTGTCTATGAACAGGACCAGTGGACTGATGAAAACTATGGGTGTCAAAAATCTAATGGAAAAATTGAGAAACAACAATTTCCCTGGCAGAAATCACACCAGCATCTTGATGTCTGCCACCCTGACTAACAACACTGATTCAAATATCACGATTCAAATGTTGTTTCCAGATGAGCAACAAGATGCTACAGAACATTTATGCGTCTTCTGGGACACCGAAGCAGGCGACTGGTCAAATCGGGGATGTATTGCCAACATGACTGAGAATAATCAAACTCTTTGCGAGTGCAACCATCTGACTTCATTCTCTGTCCTCATGTCCAAAAGCGCCAATGTATCTTCTGAATCCCTCGACCTTATCACTTATATTGGGCTTGGTGTGTCCATTTTCTCCCTGTTAGTCTTCCTCATCATTGAGCATCTTGTATGGTCGGCTGTGACAAAGACAAACCTGTCACATTTCCGTCACACATCTATAGTCAACATTGCCGTGTTCCGCTTGCTCGGTGATTGCAGTTTCCTGGCTTCAGCCTTTCCTGATAGTATCAGTGACACCTGGTGCTTTGTTTTTACAGTGTGCAAACACCTGTTTTACTTGGCCATGTTCACCTGGATGTTGTGCTTGAGTGTGATGCTTGTCCACCAGCTCATCTTTGTTTTCAGCCCTGTGAGGAAGAGAGTGTTCATGTTCCTCACCAGCATTGTAGGCTATGTTGTCCCAATGGTACTGGTGGGAACCAGCTATGTATATTACAAATACACCAACAAGGATTACTATAGTAGGAAAACCTGCTGGTTAGTATATGAAAGGCTCTTGGTAGGCTCTATTCATGCTTTTCTCCTTCCAGTGTATGCCATTGTTCTGTCAAACCTCTTTTCTATGGTGGTTGTCATCGTTACCTTGGTGAAGACCTCAGTACCTGACAGCAGCAAGGCAGATGACAAGGAGACAGCAAAAAGCATTCTTAAAGTGGTGGTCTTTCTAACACCTGTGTTTGGAGTGACGTGGATTCTTGGCTTCTTTATTTACATCCTGGATGAGGGGACAACAATGTTTAAAATTGTTAACTACACTTTCACCATCCTCAATTCTTTTCAGGTAAATAGAGCAATATTCACAACAAACTGAAAGTTGACACTACAGTTGCATAAATGAAACTACCTTCCCTTCAGCCAGAAACATCCAATCATTGTAAAAGAATCAAAAAGAAAAAATTATTAGGTCCTCTGGATGGGTTCTTCTTTAGCGAAACGTTTCGTCTCTYGTCCAAGAGACTTCTTCAGTCTGATGAGTTTCAGGTGAACTCAGCCTTATAAGCACTGCCTCCACATGGACAGTCACATGCAAAATAGGGCCATCATCTTACAATAGGCTTGATTAGCTCTATTGTTCATAGAGGGTCATGTGCCCCATCACCTGACCTGTGTCGTGTTATGTGTATGTAGTGAATGCAAGCGGGGCTCGACATCCCCTTGTTTTTGTCCTTCTTTCCCTCTTTGTGTTGGGTATCATTGGGGYCCTGATTCAGTGCTTATAAGGCTGATATCACCTGAAACTCATCAGACTGAAGAAGTCTCTTGGAYGAGAGACGAAACGTTTCACTGAAGAAGAACCCATCCAGAGGATCTACTTATTTTTTCTTTTTGATTTTTTTCTACCTGGATTACTGAGATGCATCAGGACATTGTAAAAGAATGTTCTGTCTGCTCAAAGGGAGAAATCAGATCTTTTGAGTGGGGTTTGTGGAAAAGTTATAAACAACTTCTTTCTTTCAGCTGCTCCCTTTCTTAATGGGTAATCACGGTGATTACGTGATTACCCATTAAGAAAGGGTAATCATGGTAATCATGGTGAATTAACTGTTGGGTATTGTTTTTACATTGAATACTCTTCCTGACACCACCACAGACCACCGCCCTTTGTTATAATGGTCAGCAGATTCAAATTTAACATTTATCTAACCTTTGTGCCAACATTCTTAAATTTTGTAAAAAGCTTTTTGACTGGCCTTAGTTATAAAAACAGAGCTAAAGTCTGACAGGATTAAAGTGTTAATGGCTAGTCCAAGCACAGCCAAATGTAAATGGGATTGTTACCATTTTAAGACAAGTTCCTCTACAAACAGACAGGCAATACAACTATTTGATGCCACATGCTGTCCCCACTCCACCTGTCAGTCATTTAGGGGTAGCACCTGGGGTGGCCAATCAGATGCCAGCTGTGGCACTTGCCATTCCAGCCACCCCTCTGGCTCTGTCCTGTTTTTTTTTATGGCTGCACTGTGGTATAAACAGCGGGTAAAATAAGTATTGAACACGTCACCATTTTTCTCAGTAAATATATTACTAGATGTGCTAATGACATGAAATTTTCACCAGATGTCGGTAACAACCCAAGTGATCCATACATACAAAGAAATCAAACCATAAATGTCCAGAAATGAAGTTATTTGTAGTAATGTGGAATGGCACAGGGAAAAAGTATTGAACACACTTACTGAAATTTATCTAATACTTTGTACAAAAGCCTTTGTTGTCAATGACAGCTTCAAGACGCCTCCTGTATGGAGAAACTAGTGGCATGCATTGCTCAGGTGTGATTTTGGCCCATTCTTCCACACAAACAGTCTTCAAATCTTGAAGGTTTCGTGGACCTCTTCTATGAACTCTGATCTTTAGTTCTTTCCATAGATTTTCTGTTGGATTCAGGTCAGGTGATTGGCTGGGCCATTCCAGCAGCTTTAGTTTCTTTCTCTGAAACCAACTGAGAGTTTCCTTGGCTTTGTGTTTGGGCTCATTGTCTTGCTGAAATGTCCAGCCACGTTTCATCTTCATCATCCTGGTAGATGGAAGCAGATTTTTATCAAGAATGTCTCTGTACATTTTTCCACTCATCCTTCCTTCAATTATTTGAAGTTTGCCAGTACCATATGCTGAAAAACAGCCCCACACCATGATGTTCCCACCTCCAAACTTCACTGTTGGTATGGTGTTTTTGGGCTGATGTGCAGTGCCATTTGACCTCCAAACATGATGTGTATTCTGGCATCCAAACAGTTCARTKTTGGTCTCATCTGACCAGACTATATTCTCCCAGTATTTCACAGGCTTCTCTAAATGTTGTGCAGCAAACTTTAAAGGAGCTTCAACATGCTGTTTCTTCAGCAGTGGAGTCTTGCGTGGTGAGCGTGCATACAGGCTATGGCGGTTGAGTGCATTACTTATTCTTTTCTTTGAAACAAWCGTACCTGCTAATTCCAGGTCTTTCTGAAGCTCTCCACAAGTGGTCCTTGGCTCTTGGACAACTCTTCTGATAATTCTTTTCACTCCTCTGTCAGAAATCTTGTGAGGAGCACCTGGTCGTGGTCGGTTTATGGTGAAATAATGTTCTTTCCACTTCTGAATTATGGYCCCAACAGTGCTCATTGGAACCTTCAGAAGTTTAGACATTCTTCTGTAACCGATGCCATCATTATGCTTTGCAACAATAAGGTTGTGAAGGTCTTGAGAGAGCTCTTTACTTTTACCCATCATCAGATGGTTCTTGTGTGATACCTGGCCATCATTTGGGACTGAACCAGCTGATATTAACTTGCACTGACAAGGGGCAGACTTGCTTTCAAATTACTGAGAGAGTTCAGCTGGTGTCTTGGCTTTCCATGCCTTTTTACACCTCCCTTTCTTCATGTGTTCAATACTTTTTCCCTGTGTCATTCCACATTATTACAAATAACTTCATTTCTGGACATTTATGGTTTGATTTCTTTGTATGTATGGATCACTTGGGTTGTTACCGACATCTGGTGAAAATTTCATGTCATTAGCACCTCTAGTAWTATATTTACTGAGAAAAATGTTGACGTGTTCAATACTTACTTTACCCGCTGTATCTCYAAACCATGGTTGTTCAAAAAATTATCCACAGCAAGTCAAATGTTGATGGGTCATTGCTTTTCCACAGAACTCCATTTCAAAAGATTGAAACAGTCTCCATAGCACAACTATAACACCACACAAGAATTTCAGTCAGTATGACCCTTCTCACTGTAAATCAGTGGTGGGTAAAATTCATTGGTGAAACAGGAGAAAATGTGTAATACATTATTAGTTTCAAAAAATATATATGTTCAGTAGAATTCTGATGGAAATTTGTTTCACTTCATTTCTTTTCCTCCAGGGTCTCTTCATTTTGATAACAGGATGCCTCACAGAGCAGAAGGTAGGTTTTTGTTTTTATCAGTGGGCAGTAAGGTAAAGTAAGGTTGGGTAAAACTTTATTAGTAAGTGTAAGTCAATAGCTGTGTTTCCATTGACCATGAAAATGTGCAAATTAGAAATTCAAAAATAAATTTGCACAATGGAAACACGTTAATTTAGAAAAAATACATTTTTTGACAAAAGGTTTTTGCGCTAGGATGATGTGGTTTTTCGGCCGTATCGAAATTGGTGTTTTTCGCAAAACTGCAATGGAAACACTTTTTTTCACATCACGGGAGTCACGTGATCAACAACCGGCTGTTTCTACTGGCGAAAAAGACAACGAAGAAGAAGATAACAGGAAGTAGAAATAGTAGTAAAATCACTGAAGTAGTAAAATAAAGTAGTAAACTCACCAACTACAATTTCCCAAAAACTCAGCATACGTAGCCGCTCCCAAGTAGGGGCTTGTCGCTGGAAAACCTCGATAAAAGACGCCAACGTCTCCTCTGATGATGAGCGCTAGTGTCGCGGTAGCAACATGCTATGTGTTTACATCCATTGCCGCTATGTTTGTAATGACTTATTTCGAGAACAAACTTATTCACACGTTACTTTAATAGCATATCTTACTTAATGGAAACACTGCAGTTGCAAAACTGTTTTTCGACATTAACAGAATATCGACAAAGTTTTGCGCACATTTGCAATGGAAACACAGCTAATAACTTGTTGAAAGCAGAAATTTTGTGGCAGAAAATTCTCTGGGTTCTGAAAATACGTAACTCTGTTGTTTAGTCTTTACTAAATATATTTGGTATTGAAGCTATTTTTAATATGTTTGCTTTAGGGGTGTAATGGTCYGTCTTACATATATCCACATTGTGATGGCTTAGTACGAATGTTTGGGATAAGTTCATKAATTCACCATGGTTTAGCCACAGGTGGTCACTGCTTCCATCTAAAAGCTGAAGTGTGTTTTATTTAGCTGCACTTAGTTAACAGCTCCTACAAAAAACAAGCAGGGAAAGATTACATTTAACAAAGAATAGTTGGTTAGGAAAAACACTCGAAAGCCTACCCCCCCCCCCCCTTTTTTTTTAGACCATACCCCATATCAATGGTGTTTTTTTCAGTACCTGTTTCTGGGAAAGTTTTCTGATTTAAAAAAAGTAGGGAAAAAATCACTAGGATTTAGCATTTCGTTCTTCTTGTTTAACCAAACACATATTAACCTATGACCCTTACAGGTATGTAGTAAACCATGACATAGGACTGTTACATCCCTGTTGTTCTCTCTTGTTTGTTTTTAACTGTATTGTGTTTTTATCAGGTCAGAGATGAACTCTATAGGATCATAATGGTAAGTATTTTAATAAGTTTGCTTCAAAATCTAACTGTAAAATAATAGAAACAAGCAGAATAATTTGGTGCACATCTACCTTCAGGCTAAAACAGGACGAGAAACCGATAGCATGCAGAAACTGACATCAACTACTTACACAAAAGACAAATGAGAAAAGGTCAGTTGTACTTTAGTATTATGATTTCTCCTTTATGTTCTTCTTGATTGTGTTTATTTTCATCTGAAAAGACCTACAGTTCATAATTATATTTAATGTAAAAAAGATGTTTAGTAAAAAAACAATGTAGCTGTTTTTTGGGTTGTGGCACCAGGATATAAACAGAAACTGATGTAAAGCTTACGTCTTCATTGCCACACTCGTTTTAACTGAAAGTGTTACTATTATTTTGATGCAACAGCCAACCAAAGAAAAATGGTTCCATTTGATCTGGTTTTAAAAAAAGTACATTAGCTGATTTCTGAATGAAAGACATAGTTAACTACAATTGTCAAGATGTTACAAAATTTTTTAAAGTTTTWGTTCAAATATTGCTTTCTATTTTCAGTCTGAAATTGAAAATTTCAAGTTCCTACATGGAAAAATGAACCTAAACACCATCTGAATCTGAAAATTAACATAGAAATTCAAAGATTCTTTTCCAACCTGGTCCTCAAAATCCTATATGGCTGTGCATAATAGCTGCAGTAATAACCTGTATATTTTTCTTTCTGACACTTTTGTTTTCAATAAACAGTCACATGCTGTACTGTCTAACCACTATTAGGAAACATGTTGCTAAATGGTTTGAATGCATAAAATACAGAAAATTCATTGTGTTCAACTTGTTTTGCTAATAGTATTTAGCTATCTTACTGAGGAAAACTATTAGACAATTTGATTGATTTTCCAAACTTCAGCTAGAACATGTTCAGGTTTGGTGTGATGTGATTCCAAGATCTGAGTTCAAACTTCTGCAGTAAATGGGACACAACATGTTTAAAGTTTTATCAGTTCTGTGATCTGTGAAAGTCCTAAATTTAAAAATAATTATGTATGTTAAAAAATAGGTCAGAAGGCTAACATACTGTAACAAAATTACTTTCTTTTCATCAAATTTTTAATGGTACATGTATATTAATACCAGGAATTTGTTCAACATAAAGTACTGACTGGTTTTGCAAGTATTAGAATTTTTTGGCCAAGGCTGTCCAGAAGCTCAGTGAAAAATACTGGAATGCACTAAAGAAAACAATGGGCCTCATGCAAGAACATGTTCGTATTCTTATCTTAAATTTCTCTTACTTTTGTTCGTACAAAGGGTTCGTACGAACATGTCACGTCAGATTCAACAAACTCTTCTATCTTCAGGAAAAGTGTGTAAATGAGCTGCGTAAATTCCACCTGTTCGTATCCAGCTGCTCGTGCACGCGAGAGGAGATTAGCATAATTACCACCCCAAAAACACCATATAAGGCTGTGTTTCCTGCCTCAGGTACAAGGAAGTGTCCATTCATGAAAATGGCAGCGAAAACTAAAAAGAACTTTACGAGTTCAGAGATTGAAGTCCGTCTGTCAGAGATCCAGAAAAGAAAATCTGTCATTTTTAGCAGGTCAGCTGTGGGATAAAAAAGAGCTGCTAAAAGTATAAACAACCGTGTTAAATCATTTTCATTTATTCAGAAGCCGCAGCGCTGCGCACCGTGCCCCCCCCCCCGCGCGCTGCGGTGGTCTCAGATGTGGGTTTGAAATAAGCATTTTAAAATGTTTTCAAAATAAGTCTGGCACTTTGGAGAAAACCCAGGACTCACTGGAGGGAATTATATACCTCCTCTGGTCTGGGAACGTCTCGGAGTCCCCCAGGACGAGCTGGAAAGTGTCGCTGCAGAGAGAGCGGGGTCTCTCCTGCTGCCCTCCTGCCCCACCCGATAGTGGATAAGCCGGCCAGACGGACAATTTATATTGTTAGTCTAAATTATTACATTTAAAATTATAACTCTAATTCAAGCAGAATAGCCTATTGTCATTATAATTATGGAGTGTGATTTATTTTCAACTCAAAATATCTTCAAACTAATGAAATATAAAGTTATTAATGAAGAAAACCCGTCTGGATAACAGCAGACTGACTGCTGGTAAAATATACGACAGGTCTGGACCACTCGTAAATTTTGTTCGTACCTGAAAAAAATCTTAGAATACGAAAACATTGGTGAATGCCACAAATTCTCCTAAATCACTCGTACGCACAACATAAGAACAAATCTGTGCATACAAATGGTTCTTGCATGAGGCCCAATATGTAGTGGTTAAAGTTCATAAAAATTTATAAAATAAAATAAAAATAAAAAATGAAAGAATCTTCAATGATATTGTGATATAGAAGAGGCTRATCAACGTGATGCTACAGAAAATATGTGTAATCAAAGGTAAGAGTGGTCTAACAAATTAGATGGTTTTAACTTCTTCAGCAAGATTCTTAATGTCTACAAAATTATTGTGTTACACTAATTAWGTTATCAACCAGGAACAGTATTATRGTTGAAGTCCACTCCCTATTTAAAAAAGAAGGAAGGATTAGTGTCAGTTAATTATTACAACTTCATCAGATGATATGTATTCCACCTAAAGTWACTCAAACCTCTAAAATCTTGCAGCACTACAAGCAAACACTGGATTGTTGATTTTTAAGGTCTATCACTTATTAAATTTTTACAAAAGGACTTAGTTTGCATCTCAGTCTATTCTGTAGAGCCTTCTTGCATCATAAACCAACTTGATTGAACCAACTTACAACAGACCTCAAGGTTACTATGTACCTAAGAAAATGGGGCAAATAAAAGAGTGATGCAAACTTCACTATATTACTGTTATCTTGAGTTTTTTGTTTAGTTTCAATCAACTGCAGCAAGGAAGAGGGAAAACAGTGTAATTTATTAGTATTAACTAAGTCCATATATCTATATTTTCAACTCGCGACGTTGTGGGTCGGTGGGCGGATTACTTCGAAGACCTCCTCAATCCTACCGATACGTCTTCCCATGAGGAAGCAGAGMCWGAGGACCCTGGGTCGGACTCTCCAATCTCTGGTGCTGAGGTCACCGAAGTGGTTAAAAAGCTCCTCRGTGGCAGAGCGCCGGGGGTGGATGAGATTCGCCCAGAGTTCCTTAAGGCTCTGCTCTGGATGTTGTGGGGTTGCATTGGTTGACGCGACTCTATAACATTGCATGGACATTGGGGGCAGTTCCCCTGGATTGGCAGACYGGKGTGGTGGTCCCCCTATTTAAAAAGGGTGTAAGGGCAAAGTGTGTTCCAACTACAGGGGGATCACGCTTCTGAGCCTCCCTGGTAAGGTCTATTTGGGGGTTCTGGAGAGGAGGGTCTGTCAAATAGTCGAATCTYGGATTCAGGAAGAGGAGTGTGGTTTTCGTCCTGGTCATGGAACAGCGGACCAGCTCTACACCCTTAGCAGGGTCTTGGAGGGTGCATGGGAGTTCACCCAAGTAGTCTACATGTGTTTTGTGGACTTGGAGAAGGCGTTCAGCCGAGTCCCTCTGGGACTCCTGTGGGGGGTTCTCCRGGAGTATGGGGTACCAGGCCCATTGATTCGGGCTGTTAGGTCCCTGTATGACTGGTGCCAGAGCTTGGTCCGCATTGCCGGTAGTAAGTCAGACTCATTTCTGGTGAGAGTTGGACTCCGCCAAGGTTGCCCTTTGTCACCGATTCTGTTCATTACTTTTATGGACAGAATTTCTAGGCGCAGCCAAGGTGTTGAGGAGATCCATTTTGGTGACCTTAGGATCACATCTTTGCTTTTTGCAGATGATGTGGTCCTATTGGCTTCATCAGATCGTGGTCTCCAGCTCTCACTGGAGTGCTTTGCAGCCAAGTGTGAAGAGGCCGGGATGAGGATCAGTGCCTCCAAATCTGAGACCATGGTCTTGAGCCAGAAAAYGGTAGCGTGCCGCCTCCGGGTCGGGGAGGAGGTCCTGCCCCAAGTGGTGGAGTTTAAGTATCTCAGGGTCTTGTTCACGAATGAGGGGAGAATGGAGCAGGAGATCAATAGGTGGATTGGTGCTGCGTCTGCAGTGATGCGGGCGCTGTACCGGTCTGTCGTGGTGAAGCAAGAGCTGAGCCAGAAGGCAAAGCTCTCGGTTTACCGGTCGGTCTACGTTCCTACCCTCATCTGCTGTTGCGAACTTTGGGTAGTGACCGAAAGAACGAGATTGCAGATACAAGTGGCTGAAACGAGTTTCCTTCGCAGGGTGTCTGGGCGCTCYCTTAGAGATAGGGTGAGAAGCTCGGTCATCCAGRAGGGACTCAAAGTAGAGCAGCTGCTCCTCCACGTCGAGAAGAGCCAGTTGAGGTGGCTCGGGCATCTGGTTAGGATGCCGCCTGGAGGCCTACCTGGTGAGGTGTTCYGGGCCCATCTCACTGGGAGGAGGCCCAGAGGAAGACTCAGGACACATTGGAGGGACTATGTTTCTCGGCTGGCCTGGGAAAGCCYTGGGATTCCCTCGGACGAGCTGGTCCARTTGGCTGGGGAGAGGGAAGTCTGGGTCTCTCTGCTTAGGCTGCTGCCCCCGAGACCTGACCCCGGATAAGCGGCAGAAAACAGAYGGACAACTGCAGCTCGGAAGAGGGAAAACAGTGTTATTTATTAGCATTAACTTAGTCCATATTTCTATATTTTATTTTACGTATTCTTAATAAATACAGCATTAAGACAAGGGTTACGATTTAACAAATACTATTTAAAGTGGTGTATTCTTCAATAAAAACTTTAACCATAAGCCAAAATGATAAAATACTCAATTCCAAGGTGACAGCAAATCAAGGCTTTATTGGAACTGGAACATCAGCTGAACAGTCTTCACTCCCAAAAAAACTCAAGTCATACAGTTTCCAAGATTATTGTGTCATTAAAACCCTGTTTTTCTGACCATCAAACTGCATTGACACTGGAACAACAAGACATTTCTGGGTTGTGGAGACCAGAACAGTTTACCTTTCTCTCAGCTATTCTGAAGTGTAAACAAAATTCTGGTCAAATTGATCCAAAAATTCACTTATCRTGTTTTACATAATGAGCAAACTGCATGCACCCTATGTCCTGGAATAAAACAGAATCCTTTCTTCTGTATAATACACTTCACATACACTGTAGCATTTATAGTCTAGGTCAGTTTGCAATGCACATCCTTAGATGAGAAGTTAGTAAAATAAACATTCAGTGTATAAAGAAAAAAAACATATTATTAAAACAATTCAGAAAACTTGATCAAAACAAATCACGATAATACTAATAGAAGTACCGTATACTGCAAACATTGTGGCACACCTATTACAATGAGCATCATGAAATGTTTAGTTTTCTATCACATCTGGCCATAAACTTGACTTACATTGTTTTTATTAAAGCTTTATTTTTGTTTTCTTTATTGTACTTTTTAGGATGGGAGAATGGAAAATCCTCTGGCTCTGCAGCTCCCATTGGATCCCACAAAAGAGAAGTTCTTGAAGTTTGCATTGTGTCAGATTTTGGTCTTAGACTGATACAGAGAAGTAGATGAATTTTCATAATAACTATTAACTAAAGGTTATCAGATAGAACACATATGTTCATTAATAGCAGTGACGTGATGATATTTATAGATCATACTACAGAAAAACTTGCAATATTTGTCTTTTTCAACCTAGACTAGCAACATATAAATAACAAAAAGGTAAAGCTAATGTGCTTTTTTGTTATTTTATTTTATTTATAAGTGAAATGCAAATGTATAGCTGTATAAATTTAAGGAGAGACTTTAAGTATAAACTAAGAAAGCAATATTTCACATTGGTAACCCAGGAGTTTATATGCTGACTGTACATTGAACAAAATGCATTTCAAATTCAGTTATGTTTTTTATTTAAATAGAAATTATAAGCTTATATAGTTTTACTTGAACTATATGTTGTATAATGTGTTTGTATAGGCTTGTATGTAACTTGAGATTTGTAGTAAAATAAAGATTTGTTGAGAAATTTAACTGAATCTCATTATTTTAATGACAGAATCTCTTTAGAGTGTATTGTGTTCAGAATACTAATTAAGTAATTTTATTTAGAAAACCAACATCTCCACAGCTTTTAAATTTTATTTTGTTTTATTTTTCTGTTGCAGACCAAGGTATTCCATTAGATGTACTTAATCAACAAAAGTTATAAACTAACCTTTTTCATGACTTTGACTATACTTTGATTTAGGGATTTACATCATCTTACTACAGTAGTGCTGCAGTTTTTTCTGTGAATGCAGATGAAACAGGAATCTTCTACAGTGAGTTTGTAGGAGTTCTCCTGATAACAGTGAAAATGGCAAATGTCAGAACTACAGTTCCTGCTGTGCCTCCGATAAGAGCTCCCAGAATGCCTCTGTCGATGTTCAGGTTCTCACACCTCAGACCAGAGTAAAAGGTGGTCTGGCTGGTCACACACCTGAAAATCAAAGGATACATTAGGAACTTTGTTGTCTTGTCTACATGAGTACTCAGTAGGAGAGTAACAAGATCTTGCAGGACTAAAACAACACAGTGATTTGAAACTTGTCTTGTGAACCCAGGAATTTGGTGAAATTAGAACAGAAGACATCATGTCCCTGAGCTATGTGCTGAGAGAAAGAGTTGCTGTCACACATTTATTTAAAACAGAACATCCATTTATTATCTTTGAGCCGCTTCTTCATTTCAGGCTCACTGGTGCTCAAATCCAAGAGTGTCTGTGTGAGGGGCTGTGTACTAGGGGTGCAACGATACAGAAAATTCACGATTCGGTTCGGTTCAATGCTTTAGTCTCATGGTTTGATATTTTTTCGATACAAGAAAAGAGAAATTTCCATGCACTTTTTAACTTGTAATTTATATAAATTAATTATGAACGTTTGTTTAACCTCAAAATGCAGTTTTTAAAATTAAATGTTGCTGAAACAGCAAGTTTCTTAGTGGATCTGCGCTCGACAATGCAGCCTAGGTGTAGTAATCGAACACAGATCCACTGATCCTTCAACACAAGAGCATCTTTAGAAGACAAGTTGATAAAATAAATTTTAAAAATCTGTATTGTTCGATACAAGTGTGTTTTGAACCTAAAGCACTGTATTGAACGGTTCGATACGGGTTCATGTACTGTTGCACCCCTACAGTGTACACCCTGAACAGGTCGCAAGTCCAAACGAGACAAACTACCATTTATGTTTTCACTCACACATAGGGACAACAGCCTATATGCCACGGACATCCGGTCCAGCACTTGATGCCACTCCCAACACTTCTGGTTCACGGTCAACACAGTGTTAGCGAAAGATTTTTTCACCCGACAACGACTCTTAATGATYTCCACAGTACAGAATTAGCATATTACATGTACCAACATTAACACAGGAGACGTACAGGTTCAGCCAAGTGGGAAAAAAAATCACTCATAAGTGGGTTAAAGCTATAAAAACAAAGGAAAGACGTTCGTGTTTATGGTTCCAGAATTTAGCCTTTTTCTCTATTCTGTGGCTGCTTGTTCTGTGAATTTTTCACGTAGAGCTGTGACACATATTGTTCGAAAGAGCAGAGTCTGGGCTTTAAATCGATGGGCTACTTGTATGGTTTGAATCATTTTCCCCGACGTTAGTGAACTGAAAACGTAATGATTATCAGGCGGAGGTTCTGCTGCTCTCGGGGGGGCTCTTCACTCGGCTTTAGTCTACGCTGTAATATACACTCTAACAAGGTTTTACTTTTGCATAAAACTCATGACAAAGTCGCATAAAAACATTTCATATAACACAAACGCGCACACACACCTATCTTTGTACCGGCTGCTGTGTTAGCTTCCTGCTAGCTGTCGTGTGGAGGAGGTCTTTCCTCTCTCGGTCTTGGCAGTAAAAGTGGATAAATGTACATTTCTCTTTTGTAACCTCCATCTTCTCATTTCTGATGCTGACTCTTGAATATCCTCAGGTTAGAAATGCCGATCACAAACTCAAGCGTGAGCTTTTAAAGATAAGTTTTCCCTGTAATGCTATGATCCACTGCTGTCACCTCCTCATCGAGAGGAAAAAGGATAAAAACTAACTACTCGATCGTATCTGCTGGTTAGTGGACACAACGGCACACAACAGAACTCACGTTTTATACCAGTAGATCACAGATGCTTTAACTTTTGTAACTTTTTCACTGACTAGTACTAGGAGCTAACACTAAAAACATAGGCAGTAAGCAGGGTGTAGAAGGGAGGAGCGTGGCAAGAATTTTTACCGGAAATACGTCATTAATGACCGTGGCATATAGGCTATTGTTGTATCTACACTTCAAAATTATTTTTATTCTAATTATTCTCAAAACAGTTTCTGGAAGCATTTTACAACACATTTAGTAACTTAAGTGTAAATTCCCTGTAATGCAAAACTTCGATAAAAATAGCACAACTAAGGCAAAAAAGAGAGTTAACAATGGTATGATGTTTTACATGTTTTATATGTTTCAAAACCACAGACCTGCAAATGGCTSTCCCTGACCTCTCCACGCACACGCCTCCGTTCAAACACAAGCCAGGATAACAGGGGCTGACGGACTGTTCCTCCCTGTGYTTTGGAGTTTCATGTTTTGTTTCCACCCTATGGATGGCCTTTTCATCTCGGAGATCACTGCTTTGGACTGTAGGTTTTACAGGAACCTCGGTGTTAATCAGATGTGTCAAATCTAAGGGAAATGTCAATTAAAAAAAGCACGATGGATGATATAATAAACACCTATATGGTAATGTGTACATTTTTGATTCTAACCCTCAAAATCAGCAGTAATAATGAGGTCATCATTTTTGAGGAAGCTCCTTTTTTGTAAACGGTTGTGAGAAATGAACGTCCTCCAGCCGTAGTCTCGACTGCGGAAGCACCAGCAGCCGTCATCCCAAACTGCTCCTGATGTATTTGTTGGTTTGTTCCAACGGGCGTTAGCATCTGAGGGGTACAGAATATTTTCATGTCTTAAATAAAAATGTGATTATGTTGAAACATGAATTTAACAAAATGAATTGTTAATCTACAACAAATAAAAACTGGGTTTCTCTGAGCTGCCAAAACCACTTTTACAGTTTAAGCTTCCACGATTAAAGGAGTATGACACAGATATGTACACCCTACAGATATGTGCAACAAAAAAGAGGAAAGTGTGATGTACAAAAGTTTAAAAAACTAAGAAAACAAGAAAAAAGAGATTGTAAAGCAGCATTTAATATTGCAAACAAACTGCAGTCTTACAACAATAACTGCTTTTTTCTCTCTTGATAGTGAACTACTCCCAACAAACACAAAGCCCAGTAAATATTCCTCTGAATGAGCACAAAAAAGTGGAGTTATTCAGACAAAAATTTATCAAATGAAGAAGCTCTGTTTCATTTCACAAAATCTGCACAGCATGTTTCTCGTGTCACTGTTTATTGTCTGCCTAGAGATAAAAAAATGTAAGCAATTGACCAAATTTAACACTTGCATTTGTTTATTTGAGGAAAGAGATAAAAGTGGCTAAAATATCAAATGGTAAACTGTTGTATTTTTTATCTACACAGGCTACAGTTTTTTTTGTGTTAGATAAATAGAATATAAAGTAGATTCATATTTTGTGATGAGTACCATTGATTTCAGTTAAGTTAGCATTATCTGAGTTTTTGCATTAAATCCAAAATGAGATGGAGGTTTACTCCATCAATGGTTCTAACCCTAATTGGGTTTTGTTCTTGAGATGGTCACATAACAAAATAAATATTTACAGAATGAGGACTGTAAAATAATTGAACCCTAACCCTACTCTTGCAACTAATCAACCCACTAAAACAGGGGTGTTCAAACATTTTGTCACATGGGCCAAAATTATAAAGTCACAGGGACTTGAGGGCCAAAAATATGTTTCCTTTACCTGCTCAACAATAAACTAAGCATTGAATACTTTATTTAAACAAATAAAGTTGTCAGATTTATTGCTGGAAATGGATGCGTAAATTAATCTAGATCCAGAACTTTAAAAGTAGTTTGCAGGTTTCCCTTATTGAAAAAAACTTTGCAATTTTATAGGTTTCAAATGGGGGAAAAAATAACCTAATTTAGTCAATTCTGATCAATAAAATCAGGATTTATGTCACTCTTAAGTTGAAAATACTTGCTGTGTTCAGACGGATTTAATAAATTAACTAGAAGCAGATTGGAGTGCAGCAAAATCAGCTTTTGAGTAGAAGTCACCAGATCGATGTGGAAAAAGCTGAGAGTCTGGTTATTTGGTAATGCTACCAATATTTTTATTATAAGATTTTACTTTGTGAGAAGTTTGCTCTAATAATAAATAGAAAGTCTCCATCAAACACCTGTGCCGGGTGGACAAATTTGTAAACAAATTAATATAATTCTTGAACTGAAGTCAGGGGCCACACAAAATCAGTTCAGGGGCCACACTTTGGACGTCCCTGCACTAAAACATCCAGTTTTGTTGAACTATCACAGCAGCAATGGTGCAGATATTTTTTTACTATTGACCAGAAAAGAAGTACAAATAATTCTGCTTAAAATGTGAAAACCTGTTTTTTTTTCCTGCCTTGGCCTACCTGTGGTGAAGCTCCTGGTTGAMGACATCCTTAGTTTAACGTCAGGGTCCTGGTCCATGGAGATAACAGTGGCCTGCCTGTTTTCAACTGGCCACTGCAACACTGCATCATTTTCTCCACTGCAGAGATGCAAGAAAATGCCAACAAAGTCGGAGTAATCACTTACTATTCCATTTGGGTACACGCTGATTGCGAATGAGTAGCCCTCCGAGTTGAAGAAACATTGGCTTTTAAGTGGAGTGCCAACGGGAGTGATGCTGAGAACACTGGTGAAATTGTGAATTTGCCAGACAAGACTAGGGCAGACAGTCTCTGTGAGAGTGACGTCATCAAGTAAAATGGCGCCTGACGATCCTTTGATGCCTTGGAACAAATAGCGGAATTTCTTTGTCGCCTTAAGAGTCACGTGAGCAATTTTCCAGGCATCATCCCCATCACCTATGAGACATATACATGGGGTTAATTATGTCGATGCATCTCTGGACAGGCTTTTCTTCGTTGAAACATTTTGTCTCCTCTCCAAGAGACTTCTTCAGTCTGGGGAGTTGCAGGTAACCACAGCCAAATGAGCGTAGAGGATCAACAAGTTTAATGGTGACAATCGAAACTGGGGGTTCACATGTATGTGAACCMCCAGTTTAATCTGAGAACTGTTCATTTCAGTTCTCAAACTGAACAAGTCTCCTAGAGAAGAGATGAAACGTTTAAACGAAAAGGGCCCATCCAGAGGACTTAAACTTAACTTTTTAGAAAGAGTTTGTTTAATACTAATTTCAGAGTCAATAATGTATTAGATCCAATCACTACCACCACACACCAACCGCACATAGCTCCATTTTTAACATTTAAATACAAAGCACCTGTAATGGTGTGGATCTTCCTGATATTGCGCACACTCCCTGTCCCATCATCAGTTTTGATCCATATTACTAATTTATCCCCAGCGGTTCCAGTCATCTTATAGAAGAACTGCAGGCACTGTTCGTCCCTCTTCGGAGAGAGGATACGTGACTCCAGCAGGGAGCTGCTGCCCASCACACCGGAAGATGTGTCAAACATCATGAAGTGGCCAGAATCTGAAAGTGTGTCAGAGCATAGCTTTTTTCACACATTCATTTATCTATAAACACTGCCTAGCCAAATAAAAGTCATCACCTGGATTCAGCTAAGTGCTCTACAATCATCAATGCAAGAATTAATGCAGCACTGGATAGAAATAAATATTGTGACATTGTAAAAGCTTATCAAAACAATGCCACAGTGAATGTGTGCCGTAATCAAAGCTAAAGACAGTCCAACAAAATATTAGTGACCTTTTTGTTGGTGGCGACTTTTTTTTTTTGTTGGCCAGGCAGTGCACCTAAAACACAGGTATGAGCACTGATCATTATCACTGTACTTTTCTCATTTTTACCTCCGCCAAGGGGGGAGGTAATGTTTTCGGTCTGTCTGTCTGTCTGTCTGTCTGTCTGTCTGTCTGTGGACAAAATTACGCAAAAACCTGTGGACGGATTGTGATGACATTTTTACCACATGTGGGTACTGGCCCAAGGAACACACCATTAAATTTTGGTGATGTTCCAGATCACGATGCAGATACAGGAATTTTTCTTTTAATTCAACAGATTCCAAGTACACCTCGCTGCAGCATGCATTAAGGGGTGGGGTCGGGCCCGATGTCCRAGCCATACCATATATGGAAATGGCGCCATTGCAATCTGGAGCTGTAGGTGGTGCTGTTTCCTATACTAGCAGCGGATTATTATTTTTTGTTTTTTATTGATCTTTATAGATTGTTGTGTCTGCCGGGTGGTGAATAAATCCACAGGCCCACCAGTCCACCGGGAATTACTTCTGTTCTATTCAACTTCCACATAACACCAGCACTTTTCTTTATTTACTTAACTTGACTAACAGCAACCGGTAGCGATACTTCCGCTATTAGCAACTCGGTATTTCAAAATAAGAGTCAGTTTTAATACAGTCAGAGCCTGGTCCGTTAAAATCTATGAAGCAATAAATTTTCAACTAAACTATCATAGGTTATTCCTAATTTTCAACACAACATTATCTGAATATTGTTTAACAAACATTGACAAATGAAAATAAATGGATTGCATTATTTTTTCTAAAGAAATATTTATTAGAAAAATCTTGAACAGTGTGGAAAGCAAATCTGAAAAGTAAATTTAACGTTAATATAAATGTATTGTTTCATTTCATTCTCCAAAAATAGGGAAATGGTCCACTGTTTTATTTTTTTTAAAATTTAACACTGTAGATCAGACCGTTTAGGACACTGGCAAACTACTTTTTCATTTTTAGACTGTATTTTTTATAAACTAGCTAGTGTAGCTAATTTCTTTAAAATAAATTCTCTAGCTACGTCTGATGAATGGTCTGATGAAACATGTTGTACAACATTCGACATCCATCTCTCCTTTGGCGGAGGTTTGCACTCTCAGAGTGCTTCTAGTTTTAGGAATGTGTTCAAACTGATTTCATGAATCATAAACATCTGGACTGTATGTTTGAACAGTACCTCTGCAGCGACCAGTTAGAGTGTGATCTACATCACTTGGACTGCTTAGGGTCTGATTCCAGTCTGCATTGTCCTCCTCATTCTGGATCATTCCACAGATGTTTATCTGCTCAAAAGAGCACTGGTCCARGAGAATATGTGTGTTGGCTGAAACAGAGTGAACCACAAACAAAGATGTTCTTAAAGCAAGAGGCTCCTAAATTCCTCCCAAATTCAATTGTGAAAAAGTTTTGACATTCAAAATCAGAATTTCAGCTGCTCTCCTAAAAGTKTCTCTTTCCATTTTGTGCATCATGAACAATAATTGGATGGCACAGTGGCAGAGTGAGAAGATTTCTGGATCGAAACCCAGCCAGAGACCTTTTTGGGTGGAATTTGCATGTTGTTTCTGTGAATGCATGGGTTTCCTTTAGCTTGGTCCTTGCCTTCCTACGCAGTTCCTCTCAATTCTAGTTTCCCTTCACTGCTTCGTCAGGGATTTCTCTCATTGACATGGATTTCTTCAGCAGAATTTCGTTCAGGCCAATCAGCAAACAGAAGGCTGCGTTTTGAGCAATGTCGATTTTCTGCGCAGTTTCTGCTAGTTAKTTTAGCATACAGCAGTGGAGGAAGTGAATGAAGCCAGTCTGTGTTGATAAGGCTTCCAAATTAAAATAAATCTGTCTGACAAAAGCATCTCAATATTATGTGCCTTCAATGCTCCTTTTCAGTCATTACACTCACTACAACACACTTGTTGTGTATGGCACACGCGCCCTTCGCGCGCCTGGCTGAAGCCACCTCTAATCATGTCTTTAGACCGGTGACGTGGTGACATCGAACGTCGGGTGACAGGCTCCGCCCCCACCCTATAAGTTTGGAGTCACCAGCGTCATTACTCAGTTCTATCGCCCTTCACCTCGCAATAGTCACCTCTAAACCTGAGCYCAYATAGCTGCTGCTAGTTAGCTCAGCTTCCAGAAGGTTCTTAAGCTAGCTTAGCTACTGGTGTTAACCACGTTACCTGCTGGTTCGTGCGTCTGCCCGCTTAACGCTACTTTAAGTGACCTTCATTTTTTTCTGCTGAAAATCTGTTTTGTGGTTCACGATGAGCTCAAAACCACCTTCRAAGAAGCCGAAGTCTTCTGTTCGCCCCTGTCCTCAGGGGTGCGGCTTTAAGCTTCATGAGAAGGACCAGCATGAGGCCTGCCCGCCCTGCCTAGGAATCATTCACACTCGACGGGCGCTTATAGAGCCCGAGTCCTGCCGGGCTTGTGCCGGACTCTCACGTCCGACACTGGAGAGTGGAAAGAAATTCCTGGAGAAAATGCTGGGGGAAACTGCTGTTTTCCGACAAGACCCGCTGCTCTCYGAATCCAGCCAGAYGGCTCAGTCCGAAGAAGAGGAGGATTCTGCAGTCGAAGCCCCCGCTGCTAGCTGGGTGGACCAGATGGAGCACAAGGCGGCCTCACTCGACATCGAGGGGGATGAGACCCGGTTTCACCTGAATTTAAACCAGGAGGAGGACGACGYTCTGCAGATGGAGCAGGAGGTTCACAGTCTCTCTGACAACGAGGAGCCGTGCCCAGCTCACTCCACCCCTGCTGCTGCGAAGGTGGRCCAGGATTCGTCCTTCTTGTCCCTGTGCCGCCGAGCTGCTGCTAAACTGGAGGTACAGTGGCCCGACCCCCCACCTGCTCAAAAGCCGTCGAGGTTTGTAGGGTTTTATTTCCCGTCTGAACCGGCTGATGTGAAGCACAGTCTGCCAATGTTTCCGGACTTTGTGTCGGAGCTGACGTCTTCCTGGAGCAAACCGCTGTCCATCCATGCCTCCGTGCCTGGACAGGGTCAGTACTTGGACGTGGAAGGAGCAGATCAAGCAGGCCTGGTGAGCATCCCTCCGATGGAGCCATCTTTAGCCGCCTATTTGGCAGAGATGAGGATGTTCTCATTCTTGATAGAGAGGAACGTTGGTTTGAGAGAGGAGTAAAAGAAGCCATTTTTGTGAAGAAAGTCCGTCCATCATTAAACAGAGGTGGAGGCCTCCATTTTCAGTTGTCCCCCTCCTACAGCGCGGCTATTGCCAGTATCACTCCACCCCCTGTTAACAATGAGTGTTAATTAGATGTCAACGATAGCCATGTGATGTGAGTATCAGTCACATGGAGGCWGGGCTTAAAAGCCTGAATTTTGCCTGAAACTCTCAGACTGAAGAAGTCTCTTGGAGRAGAGACGAAACGTTTCATTAGAGAAGAACCCGTCCAGAAGACCTATACTATTTTTTTATTTTTGATTTTTTACCTGGATTACTGAGATGCATCAGGACCCCACTGACTTGTTGACTCCTCTCCTAACTTCATTAGATTTTAACAATGATTTGTTGATGCAAGAAACTACTAAAGTAAAGTAACATTTTTTTCATAAAGAGATTGACATTTTTTGTCATCTTAAACCTTTTTACAATAAAATGTGACTACATATAAAATACAGAGGAAACATTTAACCAAGATTTAATTCACAACAAGTTAGGGATGTAACAATTTATCAAGAATCAGTTGATTTTAGCAGCTTAAAATGTGAATCTGCTCATAAAGATGAATGTATTTCATTATTATTGTCTAGCAGTGAGCGTGTCAGCACTGACACATTTTTACATGTCTTCTTTAACCCCTTTAAACCCGGAGATTTTTCTTCCTGTTCATAATGGCAGATAATGTGATAGAAAGGATGGCAGTTTTAAACAAAAATCTGGCAGTAAAAAGATTTAAAGTTTCAAGCGGTTGTGTTGTTTATGCTTTTGTCATTTCTATAGACATGTTTTTTAAATATTATTCTTGTCAGAAAGCAAACGTGCTGGTATAGCGAAATAAACGTGTACACTGCAAGTTTTCTTCAAATATTGCCTTCATACAAATTTTATTGTTTTACGATATTAATAATTCTAATATATTGATATTTTGCAAATTTCAATCGATTTTTGCTTCTGTCCAGCGTTGTCACAGGCGACAGGACACACGCCGTAAGAAAGRGCTGGAATAAAACAGAAGACTAGACCGTCAAATTCACAGTCACTTTTTTCTGGTCTTCGCGGTCAACCAAGGACTGGGTCCCTGAAATTGGACAAAGCATAAAGTTGCAAAAAGGACTGGATTTTCTCCTGTGTTTTGTCAAAATCTCCTTTTGTTTTTTGCACTTTTGTTTCTTTTTCACCAAACAATAGCCTAAATTGAAAGGAAACACAAAAGAATAAGAGAAAACAGGGGTTTCAGTGGTCCACAGCTGTGACTCACCTTCTTCAATCTGGTCCCACCAGATCTGAACGTAGTCATCTCTGTCTGAACGGGACTGTTCATGGTAGAAGCCCAAAGCATGGAGGAGTTCGTGCTCCACAATAGCTTTGGTGTCACACCATTCTCCAATGGACAGATTCTGGCCTGTTCCATCATCTCCAACATACGACCAGCACCTGAGTAGTTGCAATTAAACCTTTTAGTCAATGTCAAAGTTTGAGTTACTGATACTGAAGTATAAATAGGAATTCATCAAAGCAGTCATTTTAAATTCTTTTATATTTTGAATGTCAGATAAAGAACACCATAACTCAAAGTTGCGTAATGTGCTGGCTGACATGCTTGATCTCTCACCCTGAGAGTTTGGTAAAGGAGATGTAACTGGTTTCTCCTTCATAGGGCTTGAAGTCCACACAGGATCTCAACCGGTATTCATCAAACGTCTGGAGGATCACACCTTTAGCATTCAGGTCTAAGTGAATAAACATTAGTTTAAATATCAGCACTTTTATCTGAATAAATGAGTCAAAATGCAGTGACTGAACACCTTGTACCTAAAGAATCTGTTAAGATGTACGGTATAGGAAACTTCCATCTTCTTGCTTGATCAAGGATTGCATTTCTCCTGGGCTGCAAGAGACATAAAAATGTTCAGAATTCATGTCTGGATTCCTAAATGGTGGCCCGCAGACCACATCCGGTGCCCACCAATGAGTTCATTAAAAGAGAATTTTTTTTGTTTTGCTACTTCATTTATCAAAAAAATAGATTTAAATTCAATTTTAAGTTTTAAAGTTATAATTCAATGCAGCAAAATAAACTACTTTAAATGGAAAAAGATCATAATGTCGTTGAGATTCTTGGTGCTTCATTTTCATTCATGTCTGTGTTTAATTCCCCAGTCTTACTCTGCCACTGTATGCTCTCGGAGCTCCTCTCCTGCACACCTGATCCTCATGTGTTCTTCCCAGGTGTTGCCAATTATGCCTTCCTTAATTCATCGTTATCTCATGTCCTGTCCTCGCTGCCCTGTTGGTTTATTGTGCTGTCTCCAACCAGTTTGGTTCGTCTCCCTGTGCTCTTTGTGTTTCCCTTAAGTTTTAAAAGTAAGTCTTTTTGAAGCTGCCATGCCAGCGTGTTTTTTTTTAGTAAAATGTTTTTCCTGTTCGCAGGGTTCTCCTKCCCCCAAACCTAACAAATGCAGTATTCCCTACCATTCTCCGGAAACACTCTCAMCCCTAACGGATGTTCGGTCCCTGAGCTTTTGGCTTTGAGTAATTGTAGTTGAATGCCAATGTCCTAACAGGACAGGCCTGGCAACTTTGAAGTGTTGTTCTGCCTAATAGTTGTGAATAGTTAGTACCCATAGTGTTAAATATTATCTCCATGTTAGTACCTCATAAGTGACATAAGAACAAGGTATGGTGATAGAGAAAAAATTCGGGATGTTCGATAATATCGGCCTACAGACATCATCGGTCCGATACTGGCATAAAAATGTAATATCTCTACATGTCGGTATCGGTTTTTCTTCTGATAACAAAAGCCTCATAAATTAATGCCTGAATTTGACCAAAATGTGTTAATAAAAGCTCGTGAACCAGAGACATTCACTGGTGCGCAATTGATGACATCAGCAAACTGGATTATCTCATGATTCAAACTATTGTTTTAGACAAAATGTTAAAAATAAATATGGCACTTTTTCCATAACTTCTGTGAAATGGTTTTTATTTTTGTACAATGTTTACCTATGAAATGCATCTAGTGGGTATCACAGTAAAAGCAGGCAGAATGTCCCTGACAGGAGATGTTTGATGTCAGCTTAAWATCGGTTAATATCGGAATCGGAAATTAAGTGTTTAACAATATCAGCATATCAAATATCAACAAAAAGTCAATATCGAGCATCTCTACACAAATGTTTTGGCCCTGGCTAGACTAAAAACTTTTTCATAAATGCGTATTGGCTGATATTAAACCCTACAGTTGAGCTAATWAAAAAAAACTGTGTAGTGCAATTKTACAAGACTGAAAAATGATTTAAAAAATTTAATGAAAGGACTGGCAGTCACTTGGGTAGCCATTAGCGTAGGCTGGCTGGAGACTGTTGCCACTTTCCAATTCTCTGTGCTCTAGGGCTGATGTCACAGCTGATACATTACATATTATATTCAAAGTTGCCTGGATTGATGTATTAATAAACACAGGTTCTGTAAAAAYGATTTGTATACTTACATTTCCAGCAATGTCCCCCTCAAGCAGGTATTTCAGCTCTGAAATGTGACATAATTTAATGAAAGAAAAATAAAATAATTGGCTAAGTTCCATTGACGCGCACGCACGCACACGTTTGCACAGCTATCTAATTGGGGACATTCCATTGACTTCCATTACATTCCTACAGCCTAACCCTGACCACAAACCCTAATGGTGCATTCACACCAAATTTCAGCATCAGCAGCCTCAGGTTTAAATACAAAGTCTACGGTGGACGCACTTCAAGCAGCGTCGGGAAGTGCTGCGGCGCCTCAAGCGCGATTAGAGCAGCGCGATTTGAACGATCTGAGCGTTCGATGTGCTTGAGACACAAATCGTTGAAGTTAGAAAATCTGAACTTTTGCAGCTCGACGCGCCGCGTCAACCAATCAGAGAGACTCCACTGTGTGACGTAGCGACATATTTC